AACAAAAACATGCATCTGTATACAGGAAAGAAAGGGGGGAAATGTTATGTGGAGAAGGGGATTGTGTTAAAAGAAATAAAAATGTATTCTATTCAGAAATGTAAAAAAGTAAAACCTTCTGTTTTATTTACACTCTCCTTTTTTATCAGTCACTTTGCAAATCTGTATTCCATGGTCATAGAAATCTTATTTTTAAATTGCTGATTCAACTTAGAACAGACGGAGTTGCTTTTATTATCATTAGAAATGTAGCTTTGCAATAAAGACAAGGTTCACTATTTTGTGGTTGATGGATGAAGCAAAATGGAATCCTTCAACCCTAAAGATGATGGCAACTAGCTCCCTGGAAATTGGATACAGCTTAATAGCCCAAGAGAACAATTTTGAGAATAGAATCCTGATCTTTTCTCCATGGATAAAGCAGCTTTACTCAGAGAAGAGTGGTGGAAATAGTATGGCTAGCAAATGTATGGTTAGAAATCTTTATACTAACAGAATTTTCCTGAAATGGGGTTGGTAAATAGATATTTTGAAAGCAAAGTCTCATAAAAAACAAACAAAAACCCCAAACCTACTGCCATGGAGTTGATTCCGACTCTTAGCAACCCTGTATAGGGTTTCCGGTGCTATAAATCTGTATAGGAACAGACAGCCTCACCTTTCTCCCCAGGAGTGGCTGGTAGGTTTGAATTGCTGACCTTGGGGTTAGCAGTCCAGTGCATATCCTACAGCACCAACCGGGCACCTTGCTGTTGTTACTGACTCGGTTCTGACTCATTTGTTGTTGTTGTTAAGTGCCATCGAGTCGATTCCAACCCATAGCGACCCTGTATAGGGTTTCCGAGGAACAGCTGGTGAGCTTGAACAACCTCGCAGTTCAAACAGCTTTGCAGTCTGGCACATTAACCCACAGTGCCACACCGTTCATAGTGACCAGGTATAGGGTTTCTTAGACTGTAAATCTTTGTAGGAGCAGAAAACTACATCTTTTTCTCACAAAATGGCTGGTGGGCTCAAACCACGGAGGTTATGGTTCGCAGTCAAGTGTTTATTCTACAGACGACTGTGGTCCCACGCCTCCTCATATAGTGTTAAAAAAGAAAAAAAAAATTAGGGAAAAAAGGTTTATTCAATTTTGCAGTGTGTCTTTTGTTGATTTAAGTACCGTCAAGTTGGTTCCAACTCATGGCAACCCTATATACGGTTTCCAAGGAGCGGCCAGTGAGTTTGAGCTGCTGACCTTGTGTTTCAAATTGACTTTGCAGTCTAATACTTTATCCCATAGATCTTTTGGGGCCTTGGCTCAGGGGATTTTGTAATAGTCCTAACTATAAATAAAACTTGAAAAATGGGTTTCCTTTACGTGATCACATCAAAATGAGGAGTGTGTGTGAGAAACCAAGATACAAGGAGGGCTATCCTGGGAGAATTGGACTCACGTTATTCGGTCGACTGCATAATTACAATTTATTAAGTACTTACTATGTGCCAGGAGTCCTGGTGTGGCGCTGTAGGTTAATGCGCCAGACTGCAAAGCCGTTTGAACTGCAAGGTTGGCGGTTCAAGCTCACCAGCGTCTCTTTGGAAACCCTATACAGGGTCACTATGGGTTGGAACTGACCAGATGGCACATAACAACAACAACAACTATGTGCCAGGCATGCTTTTACATGCATTACATGTATCACAACAACCCTATCATAGATGTCCTGTTAATATACCCACGATGCAGATGAGGACCCTAGAGAACACCTGTGTTTTCTCCATGGATAAACCAGCTTTACTCAGAGAAGAGAGGTGGAAATTCTGTTGTAACCCTGGCACTCAAACTCCAGAGCCAGTATTCCTAATACTGTGGCAAATAACTGTTGGAAATCAAATGAAAAACTAAAAACAGTCAAAGGTCTTTGGCAGAAAGAGTCTCATCAACTTTTCTTCTCTTTGACCTTTATTGTCAGCTAGCTCTAATGTCGAATTTTAAACATGCATTCATTTATTTCAGCACTTTCCTTTTCTCCTGAGCACATGATATGTCTTTGTGCCTCTGGTGTGTGGTATTTAATATGACCAAAGACTTTCCACATGCTCTTGAACTTTTAATAATTTTGGTTTACTCTGCTGTGTACTCTTCAGTGGCAAAGAGTACCCTAGAAAAGGTTTTAAATGTAATGTGGGTGGGTGGGGGGGAAAGTGTATGTTTTGAGCACTATGTTCTTTTAAGATCTAGTCCTATCAGCAACTTGAAAGGAGATTGAGGGTGCAGCATGTTTATGCTAAAGGAGGGGGGACTCAGAGAAGGAGGTTGAGCATGACCACACAACTTTTGAAGACAGCAATCGATGTCAGTATGCTGTACACGTACAAACTGTTGAATTGGTGCATGTTTGACTTTGTATATTCTCAAAAACAACACCAAAAAAAGCAAGATTTAAAGTGAATAGAGGTAAAAATGCTATCAACTGATGGTACTTGGACGGAATTGTAACATTGGAATGGAGTAAAGTATATGACTTGTTGAACGCAAAACTGATGATCTCTTCTGTAAACCTTCACTCGACTCACAATAAAAGTTTAAATAATCATAATAAACAAATAAATAAATGTAATGTGAGGACCACTGTCTTTCATTTGGCTTACTTTTACCTTTTAAGCTTAAATAAATGCAGAATGGTGAAGTTGGGGGCAGAGTTCAATAGTCACACCGAGCTGATGTGCTATCAATACCATATAGAGTGAATCAATGAATTTTGTTTATCTTCTTGTCTAAGCAAATTACTCAAGTCGTTTAAGTACTTGGGAAGTGTATGCAAATTATCAGGATGTTTTCAATGAACTGCATTAGTCAGTGAATTAGGTACTTGTTTCAAATCTAAACTAATGAGTTAGGTACTAGGTAACACATCATTTATCACATAACTTTTATATACCTAGCATCGCACTGGACCTTGTGAAGGGATACAGTTAGGCATACAAAACATTCCCATATGCTAACTAGGTAGTGTTGGACATAAACTGCTTTGATGGTTTTTATGTCTATACAGTCTAACCTAATAGTAATAAAGTCAACTTTTATTTTAGAAGTCAAGAATCCGAAATGTTATTAAAAAAACTTATTAAAATTTTCATGAAAAGAGTAACAATGTATTTTCCTAAAAATCTATGAGATTACCATTCTCATAGAATCAAGACTTCTATTAGTATTTGTAGCACATTGTTTGTAATTTATAAGTATCCTGCCTTTGGCCAAGCTTGGTTTTTAGGTTGTAAACTCGTTGGAAGGGGCAGCATTGAATTAAAATAATCTGATTTATACCCATCTTTTTTTGGTGAATAACTCAACAAAAATAATGCTGTCTCTATTCAAATCTGCAATCTTTTGCCTTTTTCACTGGGAGGACTCTTCCATGCACCATTTTGTATTTATATCCTTTGGAAACAATGTGGCGTCTAGAGATGATGGGAACTGCATGAAATTTAGTCTCATGAGCACAGATGGAAATGTAAACAGGAAACCAGTGGGGAGTTAATTGTGTGGCATCTGGCACTGGGGACTAGCAGAGGCAAACAAGCCATCTCACCACTGCCTTTTGACAAGATAGGGCTACCCCCTGAAGACAAAGGTAGAAAATGAAGTCCCTCATTCTTATGCCCGCTACACATGATTCATTGTTAGTAGCTGCTAATAGCAGAAGGGACCATAATTTCTCAGTACATCTAGGACAAAAATAAAATGTAACATCCCTTCCATATCCCCAGATGACACGAAAATGGGAACTTTCCCAGTGTTTCATCAAAATGGGGTTATATAATAAATGTTCATTTTGATTGCCTCGCCTTATTTTCTTTGCTTTTCTTTGCAGCTCAAGCCACTACCATGAAATTTTTCTCTTCCAGAGTTCCACCCCTGTTTCAGGTAGGGGTCATGCTGCCTGGAAAGGGAATTGACTTCTCTTTGGAGAAAACATGAAGAAACAGCATGGACTGATACTTTCTTAATCATTACTAAAACCAAGACCGAAGTAAAAATATCTGTTCTTGTGTTTAGGGAAGACAGAGACTAATTGTGGTTAGAATATTGGAGAGTTAAAATCAGAATAGTTTTGATACGATAGTTAACATACAGAAAGTAGAGGTTTCTGGAAACAGGATTTGGGCACTCCTATGGGATTGTTTAAAGTGTTTTCTGACAAGTGATCTTTGGCTGTCTTGAGAGCCAGCATGTACTGTCAGGGAAGGGAATCTGGGAATTGGGAGATGTGAAATTTGCTGGTTTAAACTATCAGCTCCATATATCAACTGTCGTCTGGAATGAGACAAGCTACTGACAGAGCAATCCTTCCTTGATCCTGAAGTTTGATGGATTGGTGGATCAAGTTGGAAAACAAATTTGATACCAGTGGGAGGAAAGCAAACCTAACACCTAAACAAGGTTTTGTTTAGGCTACTAACCTATGGAATGAGAGATCTTTTTTTCTAGCTATTTCCCAACTAGTACAAAAACACAGAATTAAGAAACATGAGATTTGGATTCTCAGACCAGTATTACCATATAATTGCATGGATGTGATCACAAAAAATTGATATAATGGTCCTTGCCTTTCTGGTGCATAAAATGAATAGACTGGATTAGATAGGCATTAGCTTCGTTATAGAATTTACATTGGCTTCATTATAGAATTTAGTGATTAAAAAATACAGATCAAATTGAAATCAGATTCCACATTTGTTATTTTATAACACCACTTCCAGATATTTAAGCAACATCTTTGGTTACCACAGTATTGTCATTTTTTTTCCTTAAAAACTGGGAAAATGGATCTTGTTGAGTAGGTGAAAAATTCCTAAATTCAGCAACTTAATAGCTAAGTGCTTAAGAGTTGAAAATGAAAACAAGAGAAGATGAATAGCTCTTTGCCTCTGACACTGGCATTTGTGACTTGCTAGGTTAGCGAGCTGAGCACATCCTGAATCAAAGTGAATCCAGAATGACTGATTAATACCTTCTATGGCAAATGGCTTCCCCACGGTTAGAAGTTTGCAGTCAGCATCTATTGACACTTCATAATCCAGAAGGGCTTTGTCCATGATGAAGGCGTCTAGCTTCTCCGGATCATTCCTATATTTAAGTCCAAGAGAAGAAAAGCAAAAAATGATTCATTAATGGGCAGGAAGTGCTAAGGCTGACAGTTGGCTTTGTTTAGGGGACAGAAACCTGGACAAGCTAGCTAGCTGCTGACTCAGGCTTCTTGGCATCTCACTGAGCTGTAGAGTACAAACCAGGGAAAACAGACACTCCTATATGTGCTGGCTTCCCAATGGGTTTGTTTACCTATCCCTTTCATTACTTTAGAGCGGTTCCTGGGTAGCATAAATGGTTTAGGCTTGGCTGCTGACGGAAAGGTTGGTGGTTTGAATCTATCCAGCTGTGCTGTGGAAGAAAGTCTTGATTATCTAATTTTGTAAACAGCACAGTAAAGAAAACCTTGACTCAATCCTACTCTGTGACACATGTGACTGCCCTGAGTCAGAATCAACTCGACAACAATGGGTATGGTTTTTTGGTACCCAACTTTAAATCCCATAGGAAAGCCAGAGTGACCCGGAAGTGAATGAGGTGAATAGAGATGTCTCATTGCTCTTACTTCTTTGTGGTAGGAATTTTATTCTTGTTTTACATACACTTTATCACTAAATAACCATAGAAACCATGAGGTAGGTAGTACTGTATTATCCCCTTTTAAAAGAGGAGAAAATTAAAGCTCAGAAAGTCCAAGTAACTTGACTCAGGTTATATAGCTAGCAAGTCCAGAAGCCAGGTGATCTCATGAATCAGCATGTGCGAAACCTTACTGATTTCGGTCATGACCACTGTCAGATTCTTCAGAAGCCAGGAATTATTTCATGTTTAGGAATAGATATAAAGGAAATCCAAACAAGAGCTCTAAGATTCCTGGGGAAAATGGAGCTGCTTTCTCTTTCAAGTCCTTAGGCTAGAACTTAATAAATGGTAGGGGAAGAGTGTATAACAGATCTCAGTGACCTGATTTATTGATGTACAGGAAGTCCTCGACTTATGAATCCATCTCAAGTCTATTCTGATGTACTAAGTCAAATACCTCTTTTTTTTTTCCCCCATTATGGTGATTGGTGGTTATGTGCCGTGGAGTCGGTTCCAACTCATAGTGACCCTGTACAGGGTTTCTGAGGCTGTAAATCTTTAGGGGAGCAGAAAGCCTCATCTTTCTTCCACGGAACAGCTGGTAGTTTTGAACTGCTGACCTTGCGGTTCGCAGCCCAATTCATAACCACTATGCTACCAGAGCTGCTTATTTGTTTGTTGTTAGGTGCCATTGAGTCAGTACTGACTCACAGCAACCTTATGCACAGCAGAACGAAACACTGCCTGATCCTGGGCCGACCTCACTACTGTTGCCATGCTTGAGTCCATCGATGCTGCCACTTGGCTAATCCATCTCATTTGGGGTCTTCCTCTTTTTCTCTGACCCTCCACCTTACCAAACATCATAGCCTTCTCCAGTTAATGGTCCTTCCTGACAATATGCCCAAAGTATGAGAGACGAAGTTTGGCCATCTTGGCCTCCAAGGAGCACGCTGGCTGCACTTCTTCTAACACAGATCTATTAGTTCTTTTGGCAGCCCATGGCACTTTCAATATTCTCCTCCAGCTCCATAACTCAAAAGCATCAATTCTTCTATGGTCTTCCTTATTCACTGTCCAGCTTTCGCATGCATATGAGGTTATTGAAAATAACATGGCTTGGGTCAGGTGCACCTTAGTCCTCAAGCTGACATCTTTGCTCTTCAACACTTTAAAAGTTCTTGTGCAGCAGATTTGCCTAATGCAATATGTCATTTGATCTCTTGATTGCTGCTTCCATGAGTGTTGATAGTTGATCCAAGAAGAATGAAGTCCTTGGCAACTTCAATCTTTTCTCCGTTGATAAGAATGTTGTTTATTGGTCCAGTGGTGAGGATTTTTGTTTTCTTTACATTGAGATGTAATCTACACCAAAGGCTGTGCTCTTTGATCTTCATCAGTAAATGTTTTAAGTCCTCTTCACTTTCAGCAAGCAAGGTTGTATCATCTGCATATTGCAGGTTTTAGTTGCTTTTTATTATCAGTATCTTTATAAGTCTCATCTTTGAACACCTATGAATGAACATGCGAGCAATTATATGCTACAATACTGTCTGTCAAAGCAATTAAATTCCATATGAGGGGACTTAAAAAAGTTAATGGAAAAACTCCATTATCTTTCAATTCCATTTTTCCATGAACTTTTTGATGCCACCTTTTATTATTAATGATGTGCCAAACAGCAACAAAAACCAACAATACCCCAAAATGCAGATGGTCATAAGAGTAGTTCATCATAACTCAAATATATTGTAAGTCGGGACTTCCTGTGTTTCTAGAAGTCAGTGTTTCACTTCCATTCCAGTAGGCAGTTCAGACAGGAATCATTTAAGGAAGCTGTCCCTGGACTGTATCATTGAATGGTCAGTGGGCTGGTCCTTGGACATCCTTTATGAATGTATTCTCAATTTTTGAACATTAGTGCAGAGATGGTCCATAGGAAGGTGAAGTCATACCATGAGCTGGCCTCCTACTTACACAGCAAGCAAAGGGAGAGATGTTTAAAACAAAACTCTCCAAAGTGATGCAATGGCTCTTGTTTTACCACCTCAAATCTTTTTTGGAATGGCTTTCCTACCCTATCTCAGGATTGTTCAAACAACTATGCTAAGAAAATAAGTCTTCTCTTTTCCTATCCTATCTCAGGGTTGTCCGAACAGTTCTGCAAAGAAAACAACTCTTCTCTTTTCCACCTTGGCTAAGCCATTCCTCTCTTACAGCCAGGAATAAAGCTGTGGTCTCTGAACTCAGAGGAAAACATGGCTAGGGTCCATCAATAATTAAAAAGACATCGCTAGACACCTGTAAGAGTAATCATAGGGCAGGAAACACATCTTTACATGGATGACTTTTTCTGGGTTACCCTTTAGATTCCAGTGACCATTGTTTCCTCTTTCCACTCTTCCACAAAGTGAAACAGTTAATCCAAAATGCATCCCCTTTCATGCGCTTAACTTTAACCAAAATGAAAACACTTCCAAGTTCCATAGTAGTGGGAAGTTTCAGAAAGGTTTGGGGTTGGGACTTATTTCCTAGGAGCTGCTGCTGAGGAACCATAATGGTATCTTGGCAATAAAGTTAAAACTTAAGCTGAAAGATATTCTCTAATCAAAGTTTTACTGCCATAGTAGCAGAATGTGCTTTGGGAGATCCTTAGAATCCAGGTACTATTTGCAATACTCTACAAATATTTGTGCTAGCAATAGGACTGTAGGAAAAAAATGGGATTCAATACAGTTTTGATAACCAGTAATTCCTGAGGCCAATCTCACTGGTATCCTTAAATAACTAGTTCTGATTTGGGACCGCAAAGTACAGTTAGCAATGACAGGTCTCTAGGCTATTGCAAAGGAAGGTTAGAAGCAATCAATTCACAGGCTCCCGTAGGGCCCTGAGTCACTGGTGAGGAAGTAGCCTGGTGTGACTCAGGGATAAGTAGTCTCTAGATTGGCTGAATCACCTTGCAGTTGGCAGGGCCTCCAGTTATTTCTCCCATTATAGAATCATACTCTGTCTCTCTTTGAGCATTCATTTTAAAACACATATACCTCAAATAATAATATATTAGCATACTAAAAAATTAACACTTGAATAAGAATTGACTTACCGGATAACACTCATCCTAGAAAGGTGGGCAGTAGGGAATAGGATGAAACCCAGGGAAATTTTGATGGGAGAGGGAAGAGACACATGTAGTACATAGAAATCTGCTTTATACAGGAGACTGCAGGGGTTGTGCTCTGAAAGTCGGGCCTCTGGGATGTCCGAGGGTAACATAAGGCCTGTGGTTGCTTGGAGGCACTGTGGTGGCCAAGAGCACAGGGAGTGACTAGGCTAAATGAGGAGAGAAGGCTCAGAGAGGAGAGAGGGCATTAATGATAAGCTCTGCCTATGTTCCAATTGCACCTTGATCAGTGAATTGCCTAGGAAGTTGTTAAAATGCAAATTCTGATGCAGTAGGTCTAAATGGATTCTGAGAGTCTGCAAATATTCAGGTGTTACCGATGCTGCTGAAACATAACTACAGAGAACAGCAAGGACCCATTCTTCCATTATGGGTCCTAGACTAGCCTGCAGCAGCAGTTGGACCCCAGGAACTGGTTCTAGTCCTGACTTCGCTACTTACTAGTTGTATGATCAACGACAAGTCACTGCTCTCAGACCTCAGCTTGCCTATCTGAGCCTTCCTTTGTAATAACTGCTTCTCCCTTGGTTAGGGCAGGGCCAGCTCTTAGCATAGGGTTTTCTCAGGCAATACCTCCATGATAAATAAATGCACTGTCTAGAGTGGAGCTCAGGACTGCAGTTGATAGTTCACCTTTTCATTCTTCCAGCATAGCTCAGTTCCCAACCATTGCTAATCTAGCTGGAACCTTGGCTATCTCTCTGACATGATCTCTTTCAGACTTGAAGTTGCTGGGAGGAGAGAATGTAGATGAGGAGCTGGGAGGCAAAGGAGCTCTAAATGCAGTATCAGAAAGGGAATTTAATCTTTTTATTTTCTTGCAAAATTAAAAGTGCCACTTAATAGTACTTTAACATTATGTATAACTTTGCAAATCCGGGAGCACAAGACTTCCTCTCTAGGCTCAGTTAAAAGTACATAAACTTGTTTAAGGAGCCTATTACTGGAGCTCTTGAGAAACATAACCTCCTTATTCTCCTATGAAATTATTTATCTCTCCTCCTTCTTAAACAAGAACTTGCAGCAGCAGGTCCTGCTGTCCATTGGCAAAATTACTGTAGCTGACCATGGACAACCAGTTTCCTGAAGCTGTGCAATCCTAAGGGTGGGCAAATTGGATGTTTGTTGCTGTTCTGATGCTGTCAGGCAGGAGAGAGAGGACTGCTCACCCCCATTCAGGGGTCATTCTCAGGAGCCATTCATTCCCTTCTCTCAGGCAGACTCCAAGAGCAGACCCATAGCACTCAGCTACACTGAATCACAGGCTCTGATAGTCTACTATGGCAATGTGATTGCTCTTGATTGCTTCTCATAAATTCTGATGAGAAGGTTGCAGGCATGAGAATCATCGCCTTCTATCCTATTTTCTTACTACAGGAAATCTGTAAGATAAATTCCATTTCCTTGTGGTAAGAGGAGGCATTTCATGAGCTTAGACATTCTCTATGAAGGAAGGATTGCTCTGGGACACTTTATCCTCTGGCCACGTTCCCTGAGTGTTTGATCATTTTGGCAGCATTGTTTTCCCAAGTGATGTCAAGCCAACATTTGCTTCCCCACCATCTGCTACACTAATGACCCCACTGGCTCTTTGAGTGAAGCTACTGCCAACCTAGGATGCAGGTAACCAGTAATCTAGGTCACACAATTCAGAGCACACTCTTCCACATGGCCTCTTGTGTCTCACAGTGTGAGATACTTAGCGAACACACAGTGAGTGTATTTAGTTGTCAATTTCAAAAACCAGTGAATACTATGTCGGTAGCTACATGGCTTCTTTTAAGTGAGAACTATTTGGACCCAAGAAGTTGACACTCACTTTAGATACTCCACTCCATCAGGGGTGGCAGGTACATTGTACCTTCTCATATACTCATGCATCTCTGGGAAGCTTTGCCTCACATAATCTTCAGCACTGCTTTCACGGACAGTTCCAAATCGGAAGCCTTGGGAGGGATGATGGAGCTAGGAAGGAGAAAGAGAAATGTCTTTAATAGAGATTATTCCTAGAATTAAACAAAACAAAACAAAAAACCTTTCCGTTTCTATCACTCCTTGGAATCTAATAATAATTTAAACTGAAAACACATACAGGCATAAGCATATATATAGAAATGTGCAGACAAGGCAAATGTGCTCTCAGAGCTCAGCTTTCAAACCCATGATTGTTATGTCTTCAAAGCCAACAGGAACACAAAAAATACAAGACAATCTTCTGCTTTACATTAGGAACCTATCAGGTGTTTTTTTTAAAGAAACCATACAATTTGGCATGTTGGATTAATTTTGTTACTGTACAGTGGAAACACACACAAAGTATACAGTCAAGATAATACATTATCATATTTAATAAACTAGAACAACCCAGTCAAGTTAAAAATCTTACGTCCTGAGATTACTATACTCGTATACATAATGCAATAGTGAATGCATCTTATTTATGCTTATCTGTCTTAATGCTAGTTTACATTTTAAATTTATGGACTTATTTTTGGTTTTATTATCTTACCTTTGAAGCAACTGTATTATAAAATGCTGACTCATGCTGAATATTTGATCAAATGCAATGGTATATAATATAATGGCAATTGTAGGGAAGAGTTAATATGGGAATACAGAATTTAAAACTTGAATTATTTCAAATATAAGAATGAACAGAGATCAGGCCATTCTATGAAAATAGTCAAATACTCTGTACTGCTCTTAGGTGCTGTCAGCTCAGTTCTGACTCATAGTAACTCTGTGCACAACAGAGCAAAATACTACCTGGTGTTATAACATCCTCATCATCATTGCTATGCTTGAGTCCATTGTTGCAGCTCTGTCAGTCCATCTAAGTCCTTCTCCAGGGATTGATCCCTCCTTGTAACATGTCCCAAAGCATATGAGATGAAGTCTCATCATTCTTGGTTCTAAGGAGATATCCTGTAGCCCGCAGTATTGTCCTGGGGGCGTGCAAATGGTTAATGCACTAGGCTGCTAACTGAAAAGTTGGAGGTTGAGTCAGTCATTAAAAACCCTACGGAGCACAGTTCTACTCTAACACACATTACACACCTACGGACACATATTCCATTGAGTAACTGGAGATACTTCTCCACAATGTTACAGTTAAAGCCTCTTCATTTTTTATTATGCTTCATATTAACTCATTGGTTCTGATCTGAAGTCGTGACATGAATTCATGGATGGACTTCATAGAGGTCATGAACCTACTGAAGTTATTGGTAAAATTTTATGTAAAAATGTTCTGATAATTTTCTTCTGTTGAAGGACATCTTGTAGAGATTTTTTTAAATAACAAGATTTTCAAATTGTTTATAACCCAGAAAGTCTAAGTTATCACTGGATATAACAACAATATGGCAAGAATTAAAAAATAATTATGGTGCATCATTTTAGAATGCTATGTAATATACAAATCATGTTTGTGAAACATATTTAGTAAAACAGAGCAAATGATTAAATGACAAATTTAATGATCCAAATTAAATATGTGTATATTTATTTTATAAGCTGTGATCACATGCCATCATATATATAGATCCCACATACACTGGAAGAAAATAAATCAAGATTATTACAATGCTTGTCCCATTCCTGGTAAAATTATAGGTATATTTGTTTATTTGTTATTTATTAATTTATTATTGGATCTTTTACAAGAACACGCATCATGCTTATAAACAGAAAAAACTTTGTTTTAAAATCACCAAAATAAATCACTCATTTATTCAACATTTATTAAGAGCCTACTCTGTCCATCCCTCAGAAGTAACTGGGGACACAAAGATAAACACCTACAATCACTGTCATAAAGTAATGCACGTCTGGTTATTCACTGTATTTCTTTGTATGTTCCCCCACTGCTCAGTAGATGATTTGGCATCCCCTGTGTTTAATGCAATTATTCTATGCAGTGAACGCATTCTACAGTTTTATGAAAATTTAACCTTTGTGAAGCATCAACAATAAACAATGACATTTATTGAACACTCTTGATTAATCCTCAGAACAACTTCATAAGCAGGGCACTATTATTTCCTTTTTATGGATAAAGAACTCAAGCTCAGAGAAGTGAAGTAACTGGCCTAAGGTCATGCAGCTGGAAGGAGTATGAACTGAATAAGAGCCTGTCTGTCTTTCGAAGTCCAGGCTGCTCTCCTGCGCTGTACCATATCATCTGATATCATCTGTCCTCCTGGTTTCTAACAGAAATTGGAGTGAAGGTATTTATTAGAAGGAACTACCAGCCTTTTTTTAAATAAAACTTTTTATTGTAACTCGAGTAAAGGTTTACAGACAAGATCATCAGCTTTACATTCAACAAATTATATATTTTGTGTCAGCTCTATATTTACAACCCCCTCCATGCAACAATAGTTTTCCTGCTTCCTGTGATTCCTATTTACATTCCACCCACCTTTCTATCCTTTCTCAACTTTGTCCTTAGAAAAATGTTGCCTTTTTGATTTTGAATGATTGACCATTCTATGGTGAGTATACCTTGCAAGTGTTGTTTCCCCTCCATTAAGCCTATCTACTGCTTGGCTGAAAATTGGGCCATGAGGGTGAGTTCCTTTCCACACTGAAGGGTGGCTGAGGGCCATAGTCTTAGGTTGCTCCAGTCTCTTTCTGAGCAGTAAACCCATTATATTATTATTATTAAATAATTTTGAATTTTGTTCTACATTTTCTTCCACTCTATCTGAGACCCTATAATGTGATCCCTTTCAGAGCAATTAGTAGTGGTAACCAGGTACCATCTAGTTCTTTGGTCTCAGAGTCATAGAAAACTAAAATGCCTTTACAAGAAAAAGACCAATTAAAAATGGGCAAAGAACATGAAGAGACATGTCACCAAGGAATACATTCAGGCAGCCAATAAACATATGAAGAAATGTTCATGATCATTAGCCATTGTTGTTGTTAAGTGCTGGTGGGACTGTAAAATGATTCAATAACTCTGGAGAACGGTATGGTGCTTCTTCAGAGAGTTGGAAATAGATACACCTTATGAACTAGCAATCCCATGGTTGTTTTGATCACTGTGGCTGTGTAGTAGAATTTAAGATCAGGGACTAAGAGGCCTCCAACTTTGCTGTTGTTCTTAGACAGTGCTTAATATAAAGTCCCATATAAAGTACATGATTATTTTTTACATCTCCTTAAAGAATGATGTTGGAATCTGGATTGGGATTGCATTATATATCTGTAGATTGCTTTGGGTAGTACTGACATTTTCACAATGTTAAGTCTTCCATTCCATGAACATGGTACAGTTTTCAATTTTGTGAATCTCTTTTGGTTTCTTGTAGTAGTGTTTTGTAGTTTTCTTCGTCTAGGTCATTTGTTCCTCTGGCTAGATTTATTCCTAAGTATTTTATCTTTTGTGTGGCTATTGTAAATGATACTGTTTTCCTAAATTTTTTTCAGAGCTGTCTCTACTAGTATAGAGGAATCCAGCTGATTTTTGTATATTGATCTTGTACCCACTAACCAGCCTTTTAGGGCATCCTGGTGTGGCACTGTAGGATAAGCACTGGAGTGCAAACTACAAGGTTGGTGGTTCAAACACACCAGCTATTCCTTGGAAACCCTATTCAGGGTTGTTGTTAGTTGGAACTGACTCGACAGCACTTTACAAACAATAATCAGCCCTTTAGAATATTCTTCTTAAGTCTTTAATGCCCTGCAAATTCTCACAAGTAAATCACCATCCTATGGCTTAAATAAGGCAAATTTAGCAGTATTCTATCTATTTAAAAACTAGTCATTTTTAAAGACCCACATCAAAACTTTCTGTGCAATGTCTTTTGTCTTACTAAGCTCTACCTTCCTACCTAGAACAACAACAATACAAATAAATGATTGCTTAATCATCTGCACAGATATAGCACCTTGTACATAGGTAATATGTCTTCTATGTACTTAGTTAATCAATCTTTCTCTTCCCAGGCATTATATTTCCTTTGATCTTCCCAAGAAACCTATGAAATATTTTTATTATCTTCTTTACATAGATGAAGAAACTGAAGAGTAGAAATTTATTTTCCCAAGATCAAAGAGCTAATATGAAATGTTGAACCTAGGATTTGAACTCCATCTGATTAAAGCACAACACTGTTTCTGACACTATGTCATACTGTCTCCCTTAGTCTGATCATTATAGAATTTGGTACTTATATGCCACACTGAGTTTTAAACATTTTGAATCTCATGGTAATCCTGCAAACAGACATCATTTTCTTATTTTACAGAATAAGACAGTGAGACTCAGTCACAAAACAATGAAATTTGTATGGATAACAATTGTTGTTGTTGTTACGTGCCATCGAGTCAGGTCCAGCCCATAGGGACCCTGTATGGGGTTTCCAAGGAGAGACTGGTGAGCTTGAACTGCCAACCTTGTGTTTCAAATGGATAACAATTAGAAAGATAACAATCCATGCTGTTTTCTGTAACAACTAAACTGAGTTTCATTTATTTGTGTATCAGAGTTACTTGACAGGTGCTCGATCTATGTTTGTGAAGACCATTGACTTTACCACTACTCTTTTTTTTTTTGATGTACATAAAAACACTCAGGAATATATCACCATTTAAACAACCAAAGGGCACATTATGCAAGCCTGGCTCTGGCCACCAGCACATAGTCCTTCTCTTTAAATTAGTCTAGAGTCCTCAGCTGCTCTATCTCTTGATGTCACCATCTTTGCTTCCATTTCTGGTGTCTCTGCTTCTCTGGATAGGGTCCTACATTCCACTCATGCTCTTTTCCCTTGATAGTCCTAGGGTCCTCTGTTCCTGGAATGTAAGATTAGCTACTCCCCCCTTTATGTTACAAAATTCTACCTTTATAGTTGTGACAATTACAATTAGTCATGATAACAGTTACTCACTATTGAATCATATGAATCTTATCTCCATCACCTGTCATCAGACCCATTTAGATAAGATGAAAA